TCGTCGGGTGCCAGAGCAGCAGCGTGTCGGGCATCACACTACCATTGGCATCGGCCAGGGCGTCGCTGTTGGACAACTTGTCGTGCTGAGTGGCGCCAATGTTGCGGAACATGGTTTTCATCTCCACGTCGACGGCGCTGTGCATACCCTCACGCAGCACGGAGTCGCTGGCGAGCGGCGAACAGCTCTGGCTCGCGGAGAAAGTCCGGGGTGAAGTATGGGTAGCCGGAAAAGTGCTCGTCGGCGCCCTCGCCCGTCAGGACCACCTTGACGCCGTGGTCGCGAGGCAATGTTGACAGGGCGAATTTCGCAACGCAGTTGAGGTCGAAGTGGTGATGCTCGCAGTGGTAGGCCGTGTCGGCAAAATCGCGTGCGAGGGAGGCTTCGTCGACGTCTTTTTTGATGACCTCGACGCCGAGCCACTCGGCTGTGCGCTCTGCCACACCTGTTTGGGGTGAGTCTGTCAGCGAATGGTCTTGAGCTTTGGGTGCGTGTTTGGTCTCGTACTGGATTCATCATAGCCTGACTCTGCTGGAAAGCGCACGCTGAAGCAGGCCACCCGTGTTGACGCCGCCTGGTTGCCAATCTTGACGTGTTTCTCTTTGGCCAGTTGCGTCACAATGCCCGCGACCGCCGACGAGTCGATGCCGCCAGAGAGGTATACGCCAACAGGGACATCGGCGCGCAGTCGCAGGCGGATGGACTCGACGAGCCGTTCGCGGACTCCAAGGACCATCTCGTCGATGGTGCGAGTCTCCACTCTGGTCTGCTTATTGTTAACATCACCATCATCAACACCCGCTCCTGTGCAAAGGCACCCACCTTGTCCTCGTATTCGGCATCCCAGTACTTGCGCGTCTTGATCCCTTGCTCCTCGCTCACCTCCATCCAATGCCCCGGCAACAGCTTCCTCACGCCCTTGAACAATGTCCTTTCATCCATCATCCAGCCGCTATCTACAATGGCGCCGACATCCCACTCGGGCTCCCAGCCCATGGGTCGAAATGCTTTTGCCTCCGCCGCCATCAGCAGCCGGCCGCCAACGACCGTCCACACCAGCGGCTTGATGCCAAATCTGTCACGTCCGGCGATGACCCTCTTGCTCGCCTCGCGGTTGTCATGGAGCACAAAAGCAAATTCGCCACGCAAGTGCTCAAAGAAGGCCGGCGCCCCGTGAATTTTGTACAGCGCCACGACGAGCTCACTATCGCTCTCGCCGTTGAACTTGTAGCCGTGCTCGGTGGTGCACACGTCCCGAAGCCGGTCGTGGTCGTAGATCTCGCCATTGACGACGGCGTGGATTTGCCCGTCGTCGCTGGTCAGAGGCTGCGTCCCGCTGGGTGAGAGATCGTTGATGGCGAGACGGCAGTGGCCGAGACCGATGCTGGCGTCGGGACTGATCCAGATTCCAGATTCATCAGGTCCGCGGTGGTTGATGGTGTCAATGGAGGCTTGGAGTTGGGTGGTAAGGACCTCAGTGGTGGACTCGTTTTGCCCGTAGTCGCTGGTCAGAGGCTGCGTCCCGCTGGGTGAGAGATCGTTGATGGCGAGACGGCAGTGGCCGAGACCGATGCTGGCGTCGGGACTGATCCAGATTCCAGATTCATCAGGTCCGCGGTGGTTGATGGTGTCAATGGAGGCTTGGAGTTGGGTGGTAAGGACCTCAGTGGTGTGGCCGACGGCGTGCCCGTTGATGCCGTTGGTGCCGTTGATGCCATTGATGCCATTGGTGCCGTTGATGCCATTGGTGCTGTTGATGCCGTTGATGCCATTGGCGCCGTTGATGCCGTTGGTGTGGGTAATAGCAGTATGTTCGTCAACTTTGCGCCGGGGAAGGGCAATGCTCGCGGTGATGCCGCACATCCTGACAGACTTCCTTGTACGTGTATGTAACGGGATATTGGTTGCCGGTTGGGCAGTGAAGTGAAGGGACAGGCTCGAAAAAAGCAAGCAGTATAATGCTTGAACACCGCTCACTCGAAGGGACCCAGTGACGGGGTTGGGCTCCGCCCGATATATCAATATATCGTAGCTGGGCCAGCCGTCGTGCTGACCAACGCACTCGCAGCGTCTCGCCATTATAGACCGGCTTTTTTCAGAATTCGGGTAATGTTCCGGCCTCGAAAGTCGCAATTCGAACTTCAACATCAAAGCTCGGTCCGGACCGCATTAGGAAGGCCACTAACTTAGGTAGGTAACTACTATACTAGTAATTGCCTACTCCGTCCCGTCTATCTCAGCTTCTGCCCAATCATCCATTACCTGCTAAGTATTGCTCTCTGCTTTCCACCGCCCCTTTCTCTCCTGGTCCGATGAACCGGCCCCCGACATTCACTTCCGCATCTGGGTCACTGTTGAAGGAGGCTCGCTCGCAAACATTTCGATTTCATCCACCCCCACCCCCCACCCACATCTCTCAGCTAACTACGGCCTTCGCTTCTTACCAACTTGGGCAACAGTCCATTCCAAGCAGCAATAGCTTGATCGATCACTGCCCTGGCGTGCTGCACTTGACTTGACTTGACTTCACTTTCACTACCTCAACAGCACAGCACACACGCATAACATATCGCCAGGGGATCATCGTCCCCCGTCGAGATCTCTGCCTCTGCCTCTGCGGGGGGGCAGCAGGCTCCCTTAACCACAGCACCGACTCTCAATGAGCGGGAACCCATCCATGAAAGGCGGGCCGCGAAGGGACAGAGGAGCCTGCCACGGGGCTGCCGTTGTAAGAACGAGGGGGCCAGTTGCTTTCCGATCTGACTGCGAACAACTGATCACTTCATACTGTGGGCAAGAGAAATTTAGTGGGCAGGTTCAAGCTTGAGGTGGTTTCCGTCCTGAGGCGGGAGCTTCTTCTCCTCCAGCATCTGCTAGTGTCTACATGCTCAGCAAGGTCAACTCCAATTGTGTATTTACTTTACAAAGGCATGCTCAGTAGTATATCGTCGCCAACCCAGCCCGCCCTTCCTATTTCACGTTCATCGGGATGCATCATCCAATCCCCCCTCCACCCCGTGTACCTCCTCCTCCTCCTTCTTCTTCGTCCCCCCCTTTGACGCTGACGGCCACTCGGTTCGCTTGGTCGGGGTTGCGTAGAAATTCAACGGACGAACCACCAAAAACTCCGGGTCGTAGACCACCGCCTCGGTGGAAGCGTCTTCGAAGCGGTAGTGGTAGACCAGCTCCGCGAGCACCATCTTGATCTCCATCAAGGCCAGATTGAATCCCACGCACCCTCTGCCCCCCGAGGCGAAAGGCGTGTACAGGCCGTTCCTCATCGCCTTGCCCGCCACCGCCTTGTCCGCCCACCGATCCGGCTCGAAGCGAGCCGGGTTCTCCCACTGCGCCGGGTTCTTGTGCAGACTCGGGAAACACGGAATCACCACGGCACGCGCCGGCACCAGGTAACCGCCCGGCAGCACCACATCCTTCCTGGCGTTTCGCGCCGTCTGGAAACTCGGACTGTGCATGCGTTGCGTCTCCTTGACAAAGCGGTCCAGAAACTCCATGGCATGCAGCTCGTCATGTGTCCACGTCTTCTCTCCATCCGCGCCATGATCCACCAACTCCTGAAGCAGCCGCTCCTGGTTGCCCGGGTACTTGACCAGCGAGTAGATGGACCACGACAGCAGCGACGCACTGGTGACAAAACCTGCCCCGAGCAGGATCACCACGTTGCCGAGCAAGACATCCCGCGGGAGAGCCTCACCTTTTTCATCGCGCGCGCGACACAGGAAGTCCGCCACGCAGGACGAGCGCAGCGGCGCC